AATGCTAATTAAAGTGCCACAGTGGATTCGTAGGGACTCAGAGGTTTATCTCATCTGAAGCTACCGAAAGGTTTCAATCGGCGAATATTAATAAAGACATTTCCATTTGATTTTGGTTTTGAAAAAAAAAAAGACCTTTGCAACAATTGGTACCAGGCCCACAATAAGATAGTACCAGCTTTCGGTGTTTTAGTACCGGATATCGAGTTTTTAGTACCAACTCCGATGAACATAATAAAACACCGAATATCGATCTCAGTTTTTTTTATGACCAATAATTACTCTCACATAAGTTTATATAAGATTTAAAATGTTTTAAATTGAGTTTAATCGTAAAATAGTCATTAACTCAACACACTAATGAAAAAAATACTATTAATACACTTCATTTCATTGAATGACACACTTCATCTCATAGAATCATCATTTATGACTACTCCAAATTCTACCTATATATTGTAACTTCCATTATTTTTCATCCAAATCAGGCGTGAACGATCCACGTGCATGGTAGACATGAAGGATTATAGAAATCACAATTCTTAAAATAGTACCTATTTTAACCAATATAGTACTGCATATTCTTCAACATGGTACCTGTTTTTGATCATTTAGTACCAACTTTTGGTCAACGAAAATAGATTATTCAATTGTGGTCAACATTTGCAATAATTGGTAATAAACCTAAAGTAAGATAGTACCAGGTTGCGGTGTTTTAGTACCAGATATCGAGTCTTTAGTACCAACTCCGACGAACATAAAAAAACACCGAATTTCGGTCTCAATTGATGTTTATATGACCGATTATCGCTTCCACATTAATTTCCATGAGATTTAAAATATGTTTAATTAAGTTTAGTAGCAAATTGGTCATGAACTCAACACACTAATGAAAAGACACTACTAATATACTTCATTTCATTAAAATACACACTTCATTTCATTGAATGATCATATATGACTACTCTAAATTCTACCTATTGTTTTAACTTCCATAATTTCTCAACCAAATCATGTGTCAACGATCCACATGACACGGTAGACATAGAAGATTGAAGAAATTGCGATTACTAAAACGGTACCAGTTTTGACAGAAATAATACCTCCTCTTCTTCTATGTAGTACCTGTTTTTTATCAATTAGTACCTCCTTTTGCTCAATGAAAATGGATTACTTAAATTTGGTCAACATTTGTAAAAATTGGTACCAGACCTAGAGTTAGATAGTACCAGCTTTAGGGTGTTTTAGTACCTGATATGAGGTATTCAGTACCAACTCCGACAAACATAAAAAAAATACTGAATTTCGGTCTCAAATGATGTTTATATGACCCATCATCACGCTCACATTAGTTTTTATGAGATTTAAAATATTTTTAATTACGTTCAATCGCAGATTGGTCATGAACTCAACATAGTAATGAGAAAACACTATTAATACACTTCATCTCATTAAAAATACACACTTCATCTCATTGAATTATAATACATTACTACTCCAAATTCTACTAATATGTTTTAACTTCCATTATTTCTCAACCGAATCACGCGTCAACGATCCACATGACATGGTAGACCTGGAAGATTAAAGAAATCACAATTACTAAAACGGTACCCGTTTTGACAGAAATAGTGCCACTTCTTCTTCTGCGTAGTACCTGTTTTTGATCAATTAGTACTTACTTTTGGTCAACGAAAACGGATTACTTCAGTTTTGGTCAACATTTGCAAAAATTGGTACCAGACCTAGAGTAAAATAGTACCAGCTTTTGGTGTTTTGGTACAAGATATCGGGTCTTCAGTACCAACACCAACGAACATAAAAAAAATCGAATTTCGGTCTCAAATAATGTCTACATGACCAATAATCACTCTCACACTAGTTTATATTAGATTTAAAATGTGTTTAATTAAATTTAACATCAAATTGGTCACGAACACAACACACTAATGAAAAAACACTATCAATACATTTTATCTCATTAAAATACACACTTCATCTCATTGAATGATCATACTTGACTACTCCAAATTCTACATATATGTTTTAACTTCCACTATTTCTTAACCAAATCACGTGTGAACGATGCACGTGACATGGTAGACATGGAGGATTAAAGAAATCACGATTACTAAAATGGTACCAGTTTTGACAGAAATAGTACCGCTTGTTCTTCTGCGTAGTACATGTTTTTAATCAATTAGTACCTACTTTTGGTCAATGAAAATGATTTACTTAAATTTTGATAAACATTTGTAAAAATTGGTACCATACCTAAAGTAAAATATTACCAGCTTTGTGATGTTTTAGTACCACATATCGGGTCTTCAGTACCAACTCCGACGAACATAAAAAAAAAAATCAAATTTCGGTCTAAAATGATGTTTACGTGACCAATAATCACATGACATTAGTTTCTATGAGATGTATAATGTGTTTAATTAAGTTTAATGACTAATTGGTCGCGAACTCAACACACTAATGAAAAAGCACTACTAATACACTTCGTCTCATTAAAAGACACACTTCATCTCATTGAATGATCATACATGACTACTCAAAATTCTATCTATATGTTTTATCTTCCACTATTTTCCAACCAAGTCACGCGTGAACGATGTACGTGACATGGTAGACATGGAGGATTAAAAAAATCACGATTACTAAAACGTACCAGTTTTGACAGAAATAGTACCGCTTCGTCTTCTGTGTAGTACATGTTTTTAATCAATTAGTACCTACTTTTGGTCAACAAAAATGGATTGCTTCAATTTTAATTAATATTTGCAAAAATTGGTACCATACCTAGAGTAAGATAGTACCGAAATTATGATGTTCTAGTACCAGATATTGGGTCTTAAGTACCAACTCCCACGAACATAAAAAAAAAAAAAAAAAATGAATTTCTTAAATTGGTACCAGTCTTACCGATAATAGTACCACAATTTCTTCTACGCAGTACCAGTTATTAATGAATTAATACCTATTTTGTAGAAAGAACAAAAAATGAATTACTTCAATTTTGGTCAACATTTGCAATATTAGTACTTTACCTGGAGTAAGATAGTACTGAAATTATGTTGTTCTAGTACCAGATATCGGGCCTTCAGTAACAACTTATACGAACATAAAAGAAAAACGAATTTCATAAATTGGTACCAATTTTACCGATAATAGTACCACATTTTCTTCTATGCAGTACCAGTTCTTGATCAATTGGTACCAACTATGTAAAAAGAACAAAAAATAGATTTACTTCAATTTTGGTCAACATTTTTGTTGACCAAAGTAGGTACTAATTGATTAAAAAGAGGCACTGTTTAGAAGAAAAGTGATACTATTATGAATAATGGTATCAATTTAAAATTTAAAAACATGACTTCCTTAAAATTGAACAAATTAACGTAATTCATATAAAAATATGTCAACTTTATTTAATACGACCATAATCCATATAAACATATGTCGACTTTCATATGAGTACTTTCATAATTAACTAAATTGTACTAATTTATACTCATCTATATATCGAATAGAAACTGGTACTAATTTATACGAACATTTATATTGAAACTGTGTTCTTTTTAGTATTTTAAAATGATTATAACGTAATTCTCGCATTTCGGTTCTTATAATACATAGTGCAAATAGAAATTCATGTTGCTTAAGCTATTAGAGTATAGATTTTGTTTGTTAGAAATATCAAAATATAATAATAAAATTGGGTGGTTAATTTAATAATTTATTTTAATAATATTATATGAAACTAAATTTTGGAATAAGATAATAGTTGAGTATTGTGATGAAGAAAATGTGTGTGATTTTACTTTGGCATGAAATATTCCAATTTAAATGGTGTGAATTTTATTTGGTATGGATATAAGTGTATTTAATTTTGAAAATTAAATAAGTGGTATGAATTTTAATTGGTATGAGTATGAAAGTCGAATTTTAAGTTGATCTGTTAAGGAGATATGATTCTCAATTTTTAGAGTATTTCTATAATAACTTGTCATAAGATATTGATGATAATTTTCATATATTGCCCATATATATAATTTTCGAATGCGCCAAGCCTAAGTGGTAGGCTCGTATGCTTCAGAATTTTATTTGACATAATTAAATACTTTGTATTGACGCATGTACATGTTTTAGGTTTGAAATTTTTAGGTTTTATTTTGTCTTAAGTTACCATATACTACTTTTACTTTTTTTTTTAATTGAATTCTTCTAACAATTGTTATAAATATGTGTACTTTTTATTTTTACATCTTTATAAATTTTTATCTGTATTTTATTTTTTTGTATATTATGTCTCAAAATAATCATATTTAAATCATTTTCAATTTGACATTCATATTGCATATATAAAATAAAAAATAGTTATATGTATCATTATAAGAAATCTAAATTTAAAAATAAAAATAAAAAATATAGATACAATATAAATAATTTTGTAATATAATAAATTTAATTCATTACTACACCATAAAATAATCATTTTAATACTCTTTTTCATATATTTTAAATAAAATAAGAAAATTAAGTACAAAAATATGGGCTCTATTTTAAATTAGTTACTTTTTTTTAGTTATTAACTCTTTTTGTATATTCATGATACATAATTTTAAAAATAAAATATAAATTATTTTAATTTTTCTATAGTAAAAATATTTATACATTTAACTACCTGTGTAGTACACGGGTATCATAGTAGTTGATATATATTCCTCTTGAAAATTAGACACACCTTTGAA